GTGGTAGCTATCAGCGGTCAGACAGTCCTATGATAAGGGGTTATCAAAGATCGGCAACTCCTCAGCTGCAGGAGCGTCGCAGCCTCAGAGGCGTGGGGCCATCGCAACCTGGCCGTCGGCCATGTTGCGATGTTCTGCAGTTACCGACAAGCACCGGCATGGGCTCGCTGATGGGCTCCAATGGAGCCCCTGCTACCTCGTCCCTCCGGCAGAATTATATGGGCTCTAGTAGTCTCCGGAGCAGTCAGCAGGGTAGTGGGTGGCAGTTTGAGTGCTGGGTGGAATGGCCCTTCAGGGTCCATTGGTACGGGAGGTGCTGCATCATCAGGAGAACTGGGAGGGCTGGATCCTAGGTCTGTTCTTCACGCGCTACCTTCCTATCATTCGCTCCTTCCAGTAAACGAGGGTTGCCAGGCTCGGCTGTGGGTCGTCGTCCAAGTACCGCCCCTAGCTTGGTGAATAGCACCGGTAGCATGAGGTCATCACCAACAGGCTCCTATGTATAGTCACTATCACTATCGGTACTTACCTAGTGCTTTGGTATTAGAATCGGCCGCCTTCTCCGTCGGCGAGGCCTAGGCCTCCAAGCCCTAGTATGAGACCTCAACGGCCTGGCTCACCGTCGCCGCAGTCCCTGCAGCAACACAGTAGCAGCAGTGATAGCATCAAAAGTAGGCAGCAACATCCTCCTAGGGCCTCGGTACTTTTCTTCAGGTGACCTAGTACGCGTTGGAACGCCATTCGACCGGGTGCGCCATCGCAGTCTCACTGGACACATGAGGAGGTATCTCCTAGCTGGTGGGTCAGGGTTGAGATATCCTTTGCAGAGCCCCCTCCCCTACACCGGCATTCAATCGTAATTCCCAGTCCGGGAAGCCAAGGTGGCGTATGTGAGCATAAGTTGGTATTGTTCCGACCCATTCTCGGGCTAGTGTGAACATGGTCAGGCGTTTGAGTAACATTATTGCTGCCAAGGAGACCCCAAGGGTCGCCAGTATTCTGTATCACTGATCACCATGGCCATCCAGCTGTGCGCCCTCTGGTGTTGGTGCGCTCTTGCTGATGGTATTGGTAGTTATCCTGCTTCACGTCAACATGTCAAGTATATCATTGACTCGATGGGCTGTTGAGTTTTTGCTGCGGTTGATGGCTTCCTAGGTCGACTTGTTCGAATGGCGAAGCAGAAGAAAGCGGTCCTTGGTTCACACGCCTGGGGTGGTGTAGTGAGATAAGGTGACTGTGGAAGTAGGTCGCCTATGGCGGGTCCAGTGGAGGTTATATAGCATCTATTCAAGTGTCGAACTATGACCAGGAGATTCCGTGGCCTGTAGGCTCCGGAGAAGGCGGTCAGCTCTGACCCCTCTTTTGGGGAGCCTCTGGAAACCATAGTGGGTGGGGTCCATAGCGTGAACGCTCTCGCCACTGTTCGTTGACCGTCATTGATCTATTCGGAATGCCGCTGGACTGTGGTCACCACTTAGGGCGAGTCTTTACGTCCATACGACCACTGCTATGGACAACTTGTACCGCTGAGAGCAATAGCATCATGCGTACGATATGAGGGACCTATCGTGCACGCAGGGCTGAGGGTGCAGGTTCTTCGTCAACGGCTATGGGAGGTGTCTTGGCGAGGTATGTGATAGCATCAGCATCCAAAGTTCGGGGTGCATGAGAACAGATTAGATGGAAGAATGCGCGAGGCTAAGGTGTGCCCTTTTTCCCATGAGGCTCAGCAATCGGTATTCCCGTCACTGTGATAGACCCTCGACAGATCCTTGATGAGTACAGGGTTGTTTTTTGGCTAATTCTTACACTCGACGTTCACCGTGGCCTCGGACTTGCCGTGTGTGCATGTTATGTGTCCACCTATCAATACCAACTGTTGTGTTCCTCAATGCTGCTGGGTGTGGTAGACCACCACTGGCATCTAGTGATGGTGGCTTAACAATGCTACGTAGATAAGTGGAAGAACTCGAGCTGTGACAGCCGTGAAAATGATGACCGAGTGGTCGTTACAAGCCGCGCGCCGAGTCATCATAGCAAGCGTGTATGTAGTGCGGTAACACCTGTGAGAGTCGTAGCTCTCGGAGAAAACGAAACCGAGTCGGACGATTCCGACCGCCAGTCACAGCATCGTTTGCTCCTGTTCACTCGTAGAGTTGTGCAGGTGCTTCGGGCCACACCCTGTAGACCCTCCCCCCAAGATCGCCATGTCTACTCTCTTGATATATCAGCGACGGCGTTAGGCTTCAGTCAGGCGGCAGTGAGTGGTCCTCACAGTGGATCTTCCTTACCTAGATCTGCGAGGCTCTACGGATAAGCCACTCAGGGAATTGCGGACAGGTTTAGTACTGATCCCAACATACCAGTTATCGAGTTTTATTGTACTCGCTCTGAGCTCTGGTGTTGTCTACTCGGGAATAATGGACGAGTAGCTCTCCCTCGTGGGCTGCCGCGGTCTGCAGTTGTTTGTTCATCCGTAGTCGCCGTGTCACTATCAACAGGAAATCGCAGCGAGGCATTGGTTGGGTCCGGATCTAGATTACTATGGAGAGCAGGGCCGCCCACAGATGAGGATATTGTGAGAGAAACGACTGTTGATCGGCTAGATGGCATCCTTGTGGTGTCCTCAGTCACAGGCGAAGTCGCGTTTCCGGAGGAATTGTAGGCATATGAGGCAGCATGTAAATACAGTCATGGACACTCTTGAGCTGTCGCTCCTCCGTGAGCAGCACAATGGGGTCCTAAGGCAGTGGAGTTACGATGGTGAGGGAATTCTATGGGATGTCCCTGTACGACTGACTCATGGTCTGCAGGGAAGTTGGAGATCGGCAAGCCTGTAACAGCTGTGAACTGCAGGATGTCCATAAGGTCGAGGTTCAGTCGGGTTGAGGTGAGGCGTCTGGTGGTCGCCAGCACGGTCTTCCTGGATATCCCAGGTGTTGGGTCGTAAGAGCAACAGCACTGGTAATCTGGCTGTCAAAGGAGTATCGGCTCAAGAGCACTCAGAGATGGCTCGGGGTGGCTCTTCGGATGCCTATCCGGCACTGCGGCAGACTAGCGCAACGCTACTACCGGTTTATGAGCAGTAAGTGACGGTTATTTCGGCTGAGAACAGTTTCCTGGGGGGGGGGAGTGACACGTTTTAGTATGTGACTGTATTTGTTCATTGCTTTTGGAGAGGCGACTGTTGGTTGTCAGGCTGATGCAGACGCGCGATCAGAGGCCGTTGATGATGCTTCGCGAGAAGGAAAAACAAGAAAGAATGAACCTTAGACGAAACTTGCCTACACCAATACATGGTAGTCGGAGTCGTAGTAATGTATGAACGGAAGGCGATGCTTAGGTGACGATGGCTGTGGAAATCACACTCGTTCGGTGAAGGAGATGATTGCGCTACTGCGTCCAGTACCAACTAAACGTAGGATCTCGACAGGATAATCCTCCCGCAGACTCGATCTTATACTAGGTCCGACTGTAGTACTTAAACGCTCGAAAGAAAGGGAAAGTACGTGACTGATCACTATTGCGACTGTTATTGGCATATCGTCTTATTGGTTCAGGTCGACTTGAGGGGGCCTCGGAGATGAGGAGCCTATATAACAACCGTGAGGGTCGCCGCCGTCTTATGGGAGCAGGCTATGACAGTGATGAGGTGAGCTCTTCCTGTTTGGACATTTTGGGTGATGCCTTCATAGGCTTTCATGATGAACTCCGTCGATGATGAGTCTTTGGTGAACTTCATACGAGCTGTCATCGCCTGTGGAGAGGAACTGCCGGGAGACTTACTCAAAAAAGCCGCTCAGAGTGTCCCGAGTGAGAACGCCTACCCATACATCGGGTGATATCTCAGTTCAGATGAGGAACTTGCTGGTCTCCTGAGCAATCCATGGGAAGCCAGCCTTGCGAAGGTATTCGTAGAATTGGACAAGAACTGTACAGGCGAACTGAGCGAAGGAGAATTTTGTGACGGTAAGGATCGGTTCGGGGGAGTGTCGATTAGGCCGTGTAGCTGCCCCCTTAGGCATGATGGATCTCCTGGATGGCGAGTATGAATTGGGATGGTTGTATCGGCTGTTCCTATGGTTGGACAGTGACCATCGAGGGTATATGGACCTCCACATGTGCCTCAAGTAGGCTCAGTGTCGCTGTAGCCACAGCATGTAGTTCCACTCAGATTAGCATCAATTCTGAGACAGATCGAGAGGACACGACAAATTGTGGATTTAACGAGTCCGAGGCAGAGTGTCGCTTGTGAGTTATCAGAGGTTATCCTTCCTGGGACTATAGTCTTGTATTTTGCAGCTGAAATTGATATGGACGATACACTCTCCGAAGGCGACAGCGATACAGTGGATGAGGCCCAGTCTTGAGCGTTTCGGTAAGTTGTGGTTGCCTTTCGATCTGATCAACTTGGATCAGGCATGCACTCCTACCTCGCCTGTTCGTACCGCTGTTGCTAGACTAGCTATTACTGATTATCCCCCAACTGTTCTATGAAGGCCCTCTGCCTATAATCATGATGTTGATGTGCTCATCATACGGCTCGGTGTTGAGTTAAACAATGGGCTGGCTCTGTAAGAGTGATAGCGTTAGCCTCGGGATGCACCCTCGCATAGTCAACCCAAGTGCTGGAGTATGTGTTCGCTTGCCTCAGCTGAGCTCCAGAGGTTCCTCAATAATTATAGGAGTTTACGTACAAGTTTGGTAAAAATGTGCGGGAATCAATGGGACTTTCGAAAATTTCATATTTCATATTGTCAGTAACACATGAAGGCAGCCATATGCATATTTTCCTACACCGTCATCTCGTAGTGGAAGTATTCGGGTATGCGCATCTCTTCGTGTTTCCTAGAAGCTACTCGGTGGGTCAGCCTGTCTCTCATCATTTTGTAAGACCATGCGCAACCACGAAAGTGATGGTCAATGGGGACAGGAGTCGGATGGCGACGGCGACTCTGGCGGGGCGTTTCGAGAAGCCTCTGCGACCACTGTGTCAGGTTGGTGGCGGCGTCTTGTTAAGTTCATAATGGTGGTCGCAGGTAGTGTTGGAGATAGCTGCAGCGGCTTTACCCCACGGCAGGAGTGTGGCTCGTGGGCGGCCGACAAGCGCCGACTGTGGTCAGTCCCGTCCACGACCGATGACCCAGGTAGCTCTAGGGGTATCAGAGTTGAGTCGGTACTACTCTGATGGAGGTCCGCGAGCGGCTCATTCATGTGATGTGATCGATGGCAGCTTATACATTTTCGGCGGTTGGAACGGGAAGAAGGTGACGCTAACCATGCTCAGCCTCCCTGTATGCATTCCCTAGGCACTGAATGATCTATACGTCCTTGACATTCCTACCTTCCACTGGTATGAAGTTGTCATGCCTAGAGGGACTCCTCTGCCAGCGGCCAGGAATAACGTGAGCCCTCCCAGCACGTCCTCTTCCTCCTCCACCTTGTCGCCGTCCTCAGCACACAACGGCTGTGGTAGATGGTAGACTGTTCATTCACGGTGGTCACGATGGTGGTAAGTGGTTGGCCGATACCCACGTCTTGGTAGGCACTGTGTTCTGGTACGGGTGTACTTCTATAAGCAGGTGAACCTGGACTATCCAGAGCATCGTCTAGCTGGGCAGCAACTTCAGCAACGTCTACGACATGACCTGCCGGCTTCCCCTCAGCTTCAAAGGACAGTAAGGTAGCCTCAATCCCAAGGCTCCATTCCTAACTATTCCTACCTTTGATGGCTCAGTTATCCAAGTGGATCTCCAGCAGGGTTGTACCCTCAGCTTCAGCAGGGATCAGCTTCAAGTAAGCCCTAATATTCTGGTGGTAGTCTGTGCTGCCAATATGATAAGTGTTGTCCTTTCAGCTCCCGGTGTGAGGAGTAACTCAGTGGGCGGAAGGACAGCGATCAATGATACTACTACTGGTCATGGGGGTGCCTCGATGTATTCTGCTAGTGGGAACCTATCAGGGCATGGCACTGGGGATCCGGGATCGACTGTGAGCGTTTCATTGGCACTCGTTGCTGTCAGCTGTCCGCTGTTCTCTCCTTAGAATAGCCTCACTGGTGGTGGTAGCGGCAATTTAGGCGGAGAGTGAGTGTGGGATGGTTGCTGTTCGTGTCACCACTCATGCCTTATTCTCAGCTTGGCATCAGCTATTGATCAAGAAGAGGAAGATGCGTCGGTACGTTCGGTGCCTCGAGTGCTACTGTGCCATTTGTGGTCAGGTTTTGCCTATCACCAATTCAGCCTACAGGAGTCTGCGCTGGATTAAGGCGATAACTAGTGGTCAGGTAGCAATGATGGGCTCTCAATATACTGTACTATGCAGCTCTGGTAGCCTCCTTCTGCTCGGGCATGCCATACACTGTCACGACTCAACAAGAAGCTGTATATGTTTGGCGGATATGATGGTCAGAAGTGCTTCAATGACATGGGTCGGGGCATTTAAAAGGCATAGGGCCTAGAGGGTTGTGGTATCAGATGTCCTCGACCTCGAAACGATGACCTGGATCCAGCCGAACGTCTGTGGTCAGCCTCCAATGGCAAGAAATGCGCACACTATGACGGTTGTTGGTAACGTCTGCATTGCCTGCTTACTGTGTATTGTTCAAGTTATGAGGTACGAAGCTTTATCTGTTTGGTGGTCATAGTGGTAATAAGCATCTCACAGACCTTCATGTCTTCGACACTGCCAATTTACTTTGGTGAGTGGAGCGAGCGGTTGAGTAGTGGTATGGTACCGTAGGTATCAGCCTAGCATTCTTGGAGCACCTCCTCCGGGATTGCGAGGGCACACTGCTAACTTGATAGGGAAGAAGATCTTCCTCTTTGGTGGGTACGATGGCAAGGTGAGGTGATCGACCAACAGCAACGCCGTCATGTGGATGTTGTTGTTGGTAGGGCCGATCGAACGACCTGTATATACTGGACACAGGGTATCCTGGTGGCTTCTCACCCAGCACTGGTGATGTTAGTGGATCGGCTGTTCACAGGTGGGGCTTTGCTGGTCATCTCAGCATGTAGGAGCTTCTTAGGTGGATCCATCCGACAGAGACAGACCATGTTCCTGCAGGCCGCCAGAGGTGATGTCGATTGAGTGTGGAGGATCGACTTGAATGCGGTCGTGTTGACTTAGGCATTCGGCATGTCTGGTGGGTTCTGCGAAGTTGTATGTATTTGGTGGCTTCGACGGTGTACGCTGGTTGAACGACCTCCACGTTCTCGATGTTACTCGGTTAGAAGAAACTGAACTCTCGGAGGGAGCGGTAAGCTCGGTGGTCTCAGCGACTACCATTGAATGAGGTCTCTCTTTTCGAGAAGGTAGCAGCCCTATTGACCAACCTCCGAGGCCTCCTCAACAATCCTGAGTTCAGTGATGTTACTTTGATCATCGGCGATACTGGCGAGCGTGTTTATGCCCACAAGGCGATACTGGTCAGGTTGTTCGGTTCAGTATAGCTCTGCATTGGCTCTATCACTTAGGCATCTCAGTGCAGTCACTTCAGAGCGATGTTCACAGGAGGCATGAAGGAATCGAGGGAGCGAGAGGTAGCAAGTCGTACACAGACTCGTGGCCATGTGATGGTCATATCAGGTCAAGTTGACTGGCTGGTCGTACGAGGCATTCTCGGTCATGCTCGAGTTTTTGTATACTGGTAGAGTTGCACACCATAAACTAGACACGGCCAGCATGGCAGAAGTGTTGGGCTTGGTGAGGGGAGTGGCTAGTGACCCCGCTACGGCATTGGAACCTTTCAGGCTGACCACTATGCGTTGGATGGTTTGAAGCACCTTTGTCAAGCCGTCCTCATCCACATGGTTGATGTCGATAACGTGTGTACTCTTCTGAAAATTAGTGACCAACACCAGGCAGTCGACCTCAAACGTCACTGTATGTCATTCGTCCTGAAAAACTTCGACCAGGTTAGAAGCAGCAGCCATCACAGTGTGGGCCACGCGCTCGTCAGGTAACGGCTCTCCCTTCGTTCGATCAGCTTTCCTCGGTACCAAGCCTGTTATTGGAAGTGACTAAAGCGGCTGCACTGGGCCATGGTAAATGACGCAGTAACGTGTAATGAACAGTTGAGTTGAATTTATGGAAGTTTGTTATGCTCGTGTTGTCAACTATAGTCGGGGTGGCAGCGAGAGAAAACGGCACAACATGAATCGCTTCGCTCCGCCCTCGAATGTGACGCCAGTGCCGACTCAGAATACCTGTCATGGGAGTTTTGGATGACATTTCCTCCTTCGCCCTAACCCTTACAAGTCCTCTACTACTTGCAGCGAACTCAGACAACACATCGATGCCACGTTGTTGCTTACCGATAAGTAAGGGTGTATCGAAGGAAGCCATACGTATGAAGGCATGGGCCATCTTGGAGGGCCAGATCATATCCCTCTGTGTGTTCGGAACTGGGGCTTTCTCGACGGTCCTTGCGAGCGACTACAATTTCAATGCACCGGCATTCCAGAGTATGTTCATCTACGTCTTCTTGAGCTTTTACATATTCGCATGTAAGCCGTGGAAGAACGGTTTGACTTTGCCTTGGTGGTTCTATCTTGTATTTGCTTGTATTGATGTAAACGCAAACTACCTCGCTGTATGGGCCTATCAGTTCACCAACATCACCTCAGCTCAACTGCTCAACTGCTTCACCATCCCATGTGCGATGATTCTTTCAATGATTTTCCTCAAGGCGAAGTACAACTGGATTCATATAGGAGCCGTTATCATATCCTTATCAGGAATGGGTCTAACTGTCTGGTTGGACTACAAAAGGAATCCTGACAATTTAGCCTCCCCTGGAGATGCTCTCGTTGGGGACCTCCTTGTCCTCGCTGGTGCCACTCTGTATGCATGTGGCAATGTATTCCAGGAGTACATGGTGAAAAGATTGAGGTCATCGAAAATGGAGAGAGAGGTGGTTGATGAAGATGTAAACCGTAAGAGGTGTATTGATCCATTCTTAGCCTCGGCGGAGTTCCTTGGTATGATCGGTCTGTTTGGTATTCTAGTATCCGTAATTCACGTTGTCTCTCATGAGAGGCATCAGATAGCAGCGATATACTGGGCCGATGGGGTTACCGTTGGCTACTTGACGGGATATGTATTCTGTTTGGTCACCATGTATACCCTTACGGCCCACTTCCTCACTCTGTTCGACGCTGCTGTGATGAACCTGTCCTTGCTCACTACTCACATCTATGCAGCAGTATTCGACTTCTTCAGAGAAGGTAGTTTCAGGTTGTCCCATGCAATGTATGCCCTGTCCTTTGGTTTGGCCCTGGGTGGGTTGGTTCTGTATCATGTAGGGCCTCCGCCAACCCAGCGAAGAGGCAAGAAGGTGACTCCGTCGCCGACAACTACAGAGGGTAACACTGATGCTACTACCAGCAGTGGCCCATCTGCTGTAGAATAGGATCGTAAAGGTGTCGGAATAGTTCATCCACTGCTACGTGTATAAATGTTACCATTGCTCGATTGGAAGAGTTCATAGGGTGTTAGCTGCCCCCACCCTGATCACTAGGCAGCACTTTGTCATTTAACAATGTCGCCTTCACTATACAGTACTAATGTGTTGCACCACGCCACTACTGATCGTATTAGAGGGTGGTCTCTCATCGGGCTATAGGAAGGTTGAAGACAAGATGTGTTTAACCTAGTGATTTTTCGTCGTTGGTTGCTGCTGGTGTTATTGCTGTCTTCGTACACACAACATCGTGCGGGGGTTGTTGTTCTGGTGATAGACTCTCCAATTGAGCCCCCATCAACATCTCCTCTATGCCCTTCTCCGATTCCCCTTATTGTAGAGTTTGTCAAAAATCAAGGGCTCCCGTTTTTACTGACAAGGAACAGAGCTGATCATTCGGAAGTGAACTGTCGTTATATGGGTTCTTTGCTCACAAGAGTTGGTAGTTATTCACTTACGAGTCGTTCTTGAATTTGTCACACGTTGGTGGTTCAGCCAACCTATTCGGGTCATTCGAAACTGCAGTTTATATTTTTTCTAGTTATCAATGGCAGTTATAGTGGATGGAGTAGTGTACTCGGATGAGTCTCAAGTTCCCCAGGGGAAGTTTGGAGGCTTATGGTGGCCTCTACGAGCAGTCATCGACTTGTTATGGAAGGTCTTCGGAGTGGTTATGTTGTTCTTCCAGGTGACCAAAGGCTTCTCGGGAGTCTTTGTGTGATGCCTGTTCTATAGGGTATTTCTGCGCCCGGCTCCAGTGCGGCTTACCGTCCTTCTAGTAGGAACGATAAACGTGGCGATGGGTGGAAAGGGAATGTACTATGAGGGAATCGTATTTACTGTTGTTGAGACTCTTCAAGGCGGTGGTCACGGAATAGACATGCATTGAGTACCTCGGCTCATATGAGATGCTCGGTAGAGCTCTAGAAACTATCATCCTTTTCGATCAATATTGTCCCTTCCAAAGACTTTACTTTTCAGGGCGGTGGTCCTGGTGGTGGTCCTAATGGTCCCCGTAGGCCCATGGGTCGGCCACATAGAGGCGATATGAGGGGTTTAGAAGGCATAGCCAAGATGCGAGCCATGGGTACTATCACTACGACCTTGTTTGCTCTTCGGCATGTCTCTGATGGTAGGCGGCTGATGCGGATAGACATCCGAGATTTACTAAGTCGTAGAGGAGCGAATGAAGTACAGCTCACTAATCATTACTACATGACCGAGCTGTTACTGATAGTACCCTCGCACGCATCGTCGTCGAAGACGCTCTGTACATACTTGTCGAGGGAGCGCTGTGTCGTGTTGGAGTACAACGGGGAAGCATATCCAATGGAGATTTTTTTTGCTCATGAACCGCTTAGGGAGTATAGCAAGGCATCTCTCGACCGTCGCAACATCAGCTCACAGTACTACACTGAGCCAGCGGAGTCAGTAGATGTCGTCTGGCAGGTGCCGTTACTTCTTCTGCCATCCACACTGGCGAACTACAGCTCTCCGCATCGGAGTCCCGGAAGGTGGTCAACATCCATCTCAACAGGCCATCTAAGCTCAATGCACTGACCTTAGATCAGGTAATGCAAGTATAACTCTCATGGTGTAGTGTCCTTCCCATAGGTCTCCTGTATTAACAGTTGGGTTGGGGAGTGGATGCTGAGCGACAGTCCACCGACGGTACTAGCAGAATGGTTGTAGACTATTGAAGTGGTTAACAGGTCATCGTCACTGGTGAGGGCCAGCGGGCCTTCTGTGCTGGTGGAGATGTAGCCCGGCTGGTCGATGAGGGTAATAGTGGATGGAACTTGAGGTGAGGTTATCACTTAATGCGGTCGACCTTCATAACCTAATCAGATGGTTTGCCACCGAGTTTCAGATGAATCATCGGATCCACACGTAGGGCGCGGCGTCGATCCCCCGTAGAGGTCATCAGTTGATAGGTATCCTTCCAATTGGGTGTCTCTGTGGAACGGTATTGTCATGGGTGGTGGTGTCGGCCTCTCCCTCTATGGTACTCACCGCATAGCTGCGGAGAACACTACATTCTCGATGCCTGAGACCGGTATCGGATTTGTAATGAACTCGGCGAGGTAGAAGTGCAGAGGCCTCCTGCAGGTTCCTGATATCGGTGCTTCCTATTTCCTCTCTCGTTTGAAGACTCCTGGACTAGGGCTCTATTTAGGTTGGCACATCTTTAGAAGTGGCATGTGTTCACTGTGGAGTGGTAGGCCTCACAGGAGCTCGCCTAAATGGTGCTGACTTGTTGAAGCACGGTTTGGCAACTCACTATATTGACTCGTACAGAATGGATCAATTGAAGTGAGCAACTCTGCCGTTGCTCTACGTAGCACTGCGCTGCTCAGGTCCGACTTGATGGAATGCGAAGGCGATGTTGACAAAGTGCTGTCTTCAGCATGCAGTGTTGGCCTTGAGGATGTCCAGCAGGAGCCTCTCCTGAACGAAGATACCCTACAGCAGATTAATCGGTTCGGCATCCTCGTCATCCGATTGAGTATGCTTAGCCTGTAGATTCTTTGGCCCGGGGAAGCACTCCTCGATGATGGACATCATAACAGCTCTAGAGGCACAGAAGGATACCAATTCATTCGCCGATAAATGCCTAAGTACTCCCGGCTGTGAGTGCTGAAGATGGAGGTCAGCCTCAGATACTCTGAGTCGGAAATGCCCCATTTCGTGTGTGGTATGGTATACTCTCCACAAGAAGGCGTTACAAGAGGAGTCCTCACTAGGGGACTGTCTGGCACGGGAGTATGCATCCTCTGGTCGTCGGGCTGGCAGGGTCTTTCTCTAGATACCTCATGGCAGCCTCTGTCACCCACGTTGATAACCGCAACTTCAAGGAGGGTGTCCGGTTCACACTCTTCGATAAGGGAAAGGTGAGTGTTGACAACTTGATGTGGTCCTCGATACGGTGTATAGAATTCCTGGGTCTGCCGATACGTCGTACTCTCAGCCGCGTATTATTCTTGTTAGGGTATGCCTCCGGAGTACATCCCCGCTAAAATATCCGAGGTTGATCAAGAGCAAGTCGATGATATACTCGCTGGATACGACAAAGTTGAACCTATCGAGTTTTGACAACTACTGATGGAATGACGAATCCATTGTTTCGGTGTTATGCTTGATCCGTGTTGGCTGTCTGCAGTCGTCTGGGTTCGCTCTAGACTTGTGCCTTATCGTCTCTTTGTCCTCTCTTCCCAGCAGCTATCCCATCGGGATCGACTCAGAGGCCCACAAGTGCGCGACGATCATGATTTGTTAATCTTCAACTGCAGTGGTTGCTGTTCGCGTTCTAGTTCTTGGGTTCATGAATAAAGCACCTTCGTTGGAGAGTTTAAGAATGATTTTCGCAAGGTATTCACCTCAAAGTCTGAATCGCTGTACCAAGTAAGAATGGCATGACTCTTGCTAATTGACCTGCCTGAGCATGTGTATTCAAAATGCTGTTGAGTTGTTTTAATGCTGAAATCGCGAAGGCACTGTAACGTGACGATGAACGGGCTTGAATCTTCTATGACGCGATTGCCCCATATGTTTAGAATACGTAATATACTCGCCACAGCGACGGATAAAATTTGGTGTAACACGCTGTATCCGAGTTGGAAGACATGTCATGGAGTGAAGGCTCGGCCTCTGACCCCGTTGTACGAACTCTCCATGAAAAATCAGAATAACCCTCCAATGCAACACAACAATACGTGACACAGCCGAAAGAGTGACAAATCTAGCAGCGATTCAGTGGATTAACGGCAAGCATACGAGACAGTGAAGTAGCCGGACGGAGTTGAAACATTACAATCGCATCTCAGCCTCACTCTCGTCGATATCAGCGACTGAACAACAGGAGTGTACAACCTAGGAAAGCTTGCAAGCTGCGCTTACTTGCGTCGGAAGGAGACTCTGACGACGTTCGAGTCACCTTACCCACTACGACTGTAACGTCATCCTCTTTCCCTGCACGATGATGTGGAACCCTCATACACACAGTCGAGAGAAATACTCACCTCCAAGTCCGACGAAGTTCCCCTGTGACAGGGCGTTACGGAAGAACGGGGAGGCGTATTTCCTAAAGTACCCACTACCCCACGTTCCTCGTTATACTCTATACATTAATACCTATTCCGACCGTTAGTAACCGCCATAATGGCTAGCTCTTTTGCGGCTGCATGGACGTCGTCCTGCTGCTCTTCAAGTACACGCATCACATCCTTGTTAAAAACGTTGTCCCAAAGACCATCGCTGGCGAGAACAACCTTGCAATAACGATTTTCTTAGCGCCCCATGAATATATTGGGCGCCACACGACGTGATTCTCACCATATCTCCTTCCTCTAGGCGTGTCTTTGTTTTTTGGGCAAGTCGGAGAGGAGACGATATGCGTTGGTTCCTATCCAGCTGATAGGGAGCGTTGAACGCGAAGGTCTGCTCTTCACTCCGATAGGCCTGCACAAAGACACCTGTTGATGTTGTGCTGAGGTATATGATAGCATTACCAATGAGGTCCCTGGACGATAGGCCATCAACGCTGAATCACCCACGTTGGCAGAGTTAAGGATACCGGTATCGGGATCGAGGAAAGCAAGCAGACATGTCGATGAACCTGACGTTAAAACAACAGCATAGTTTCTCCCCATCACTACCGTGATTGCTAGAGCAAGGGAGCAATATCGGTATCACCGTTGAATGGCAGACCTACCCAACAGATTGATATGCCTTGCAGCCCTGGTCATGGCCAAGACTGGGTCCGGACACCTAGCTCTGGTACCACTCTCGTCCCTCAATAGAGCCCTTTCATAGCTTCGTATTTCGTTGCATATTCTACATGACCATCAACTGTGATGGCACAACTTCTACTGGGCTATTACTTATGCATCAACAGTCTACTATACTCGCCAGAGTCGACACCTTCCAGTATCCAACCGCCCACACCGTCAGCAACACCTAGATATCTACAAGGCGACGGTTGCCTCCTTATGAGGAAATCCTGACTTACAAGTCGCTATTGAAGGAAGCATCCTCAGCCCTTTGCTTGGTCCTGTGAGGGACTACTACTCGACTGAGGGGATACACTGTATGTCCTGACGAGTCAATGTCATCCGTACCCTGACTCGAATCTGAAGGTTGATTCCTTCCGTAGTAGTGTTGTAAATGGTGCTGCTCTCGGACCTAATCCGTATCTAACATATATGTGCCTCATAGACGCTGGATAGGATGCGCATGCGCCGCGAAAATCCATAAGAGGTGGCCACAGCGTAGTAACGAAGAACAGTGGGATAACGCAGTAGGCACTCCATAGTACTACCTCCCATGCAAACGGAGTAGGGATGATACACAACTCGCCTGTCGCGATAAAGAAGAAATAGTCGCCGCCATGGCTGATGTCTCGAAAAAGTGTCACGCGCCACAAAAATATACAGCCGATTGCTGTCGTTGCGACCACAGCGTTGACGTGGTGGATGACGGTTTTAGAATGTTTACCTTGGAGGTTCCGGTATCTACTAGGGGACCGTGATCCCGCTGAAGACCCCCATGTATCGTGGCGTAAGCTAGGATTCGATACTTTACAACGAGACGGTCTGTGGGAACAGTTCGGCCATGGGATGAATCTATTTACTCTGGAATTTCCTAATGCTGGTTTGGAGAAGAGTTACGTTATGGATTGGACACGACGTCTCTGTGCCTCGAAGGTTCATAGATGTTGGAATGCGATATTGGCAATATCTGTCTCGTTCATTATAGCCTATATACGCTATGCTTGCTTGAATGACTCTCTATCGGAGGCCAAGATTATGGGAGATTATGTTCGTAATGATGTGCTATGTTACGGTAAGACGAATTCCATCGACTACTGGTCTGTACTGATCGCTTCGCCAGAACTGGTGATAATATTATCAGCTATCTTGACAGGTGGCCTTGGTATCTACTTCCGTGATGAGAGTCTATGGTTTATTACCAATCACGCGTTACTTCATTGGATACTAGCCTTAATAACCGGCATAATCGCTATGATGTGGGTCTATGTTGCACCATTTGTTTTCTCTTTTTATTGCTGGTCTATAGAGGACACCCTCGACACAGTACTGATAATAACTTGTCTTGGCACGTGTTATCATCTCCGTTTCGTACACTTCTTCTATGTGGCAATATTTTTTCTACTAGTCGAGTATACTGTACACTACCCTCTACTCTACCTATCTTCTGACCCGCGAATGAAGAGTGGTTACTTCTCTCAACCGGGTGAAAATGTAGCATTTACTATCTTTTGCACGGGAATACTTCTAGTCGTGAAGTACATGTACGGCCGTCTACTGCGAAAGGATTATGTCCTAGGCGTTACACTAGCCAACGAAACCGAAAGGAGTGAAAAATTACTTTTGAACGTTCTACCGGAAACTATAGTGGCCTCTATCAAGGCTAAAGGTTTTGAACATATATTTCCATCTGGTTTGGCGCAGAGATTTGACGAAGTGACAATAGTGTTCTCTGATGTGGTTGCCTTTACCAATATGACAAGTAGAATGAGGCCTGAGGATCTAGTGGCATTACTTAATGACTTGTTTACTTTGTTTGATGACATCGCTGAGGATTATGGTCTAGAGAAAATCAAGACTTGCGGAGATGCTTATATGGCAGCTTGTGGTTTGCCAACTCCCAACGCACAGCATGCTCATTGTGGTTGCCGCATGGCATTAGCAATGAAGGTGGGTATACCGGAGAGAGGTATACGAGACGATCATGGGAATCCATTGGCCTTGAGGATAGGAGTTGGCACTGGTCCATGTGTGGCGGGTATTCTAGGTGGGAGTAACTTCATATATGATGTTTGGGGTGAAGGAGTTACCACAGCACATCTAATGGAGAGTACAGGAGATCCAAAGAGGTCATAAAAGGGGACTGGGCTCTTTTTCTTATAACGCATCGATGATTGAGATTTTCAGCCGGATTGCGTATTGCATAAGTACATGAAAATGCATAGGGGTGACGGGTGTTACGAGTTTTCAATCGTCAGACAGTCATGTTTATCGAATCCAACGTTATGATGATGTTTCTTTTTCAGAGTTCACATATCGTGCCGAACCGCTAAGATAGTCTACCAAGACTTCGATCTCCGTCCTGGCCCCACCGTACAGATGCGTGATGGATCGCCGTTGGACACCTTCTTCCTGATGAAAGAGCTGAGCTGGAGTAAAGCTAGAGAACGGCGTCTGATGAGAGTCTCATTGCGGAAGACTCGATCGGCTCGGCAGCAGAGCCAATGCACCGTTACACCATTATAATACGATACAATTGCTAAGTATATCTACCCGTTGACCTATGTATTTTCCACTCATTACCTTGTTCGTGCTAAGTGAATGAAGCGGCACTACGTAATCATACAAACACAAACGAAACGTACTGAACCGAAACATGCTGTTAAAGTTTTCGAATCCACTTTCGAGGCTGATCGAAGAACACATCTCGATCAGTATACCTACGATAAGTTCAGTAGACGGCTAGGGTATCAACTAACCTCGGATCTCGGATCTCTCCCAGTTGGGCATGATCCTCTTCATTGAACCCCCATTGCCGCACGAGGGACTCAATATCTCGCAAGTGGCGTAGCGACGACTCGAAGGGCTTCAATGCGGACATGCCGACGATGCTTCCAATCTATACTCCAAGAATTCAGCCCTGTTCAGATAGTATGCGTCTAGCCTACCTCGTCCTGCATCACTACTTCCTCGAGGGTCTCTGGTGGTGTTGCATGCTCTGGTAGGGTAGGAGCAAGGCGAGAAGGCCACCGTACGATCCATCGAGGTGCGTCTCCAGTTTCAGCGACTGGCTTAGGGAAGTGGGCCCGAAGATGCTCTTCCTGCCATATGCCTGGTGCCGATAACCAAGGTTGAATACTCGGCCGTTCGATCCCACGTGGCATCGTGAGTAACGTCCCAGCCTTGTAGTGGGCATCGAGAAGCCTATAAGAGACTCTGTCACAAGGCGCTGGTAGTGATGTCACTACCTATCATTAGTGTAGTAGTAGTCACCAAATATGGGATGCCCGATAGCCACTGAATGTAACTTCAATTGGTCAGGTATAGACGTTATGGGCCGCATCTCACAGAAGGTCACTGGGTATCTGAGATGGTATTCCCGCGAGACCATGGTAAGATACAACGACTGTGACCTTGCATCATGTAGTGTAACATGGTGTTCACTGATTGGATGGATCAGTGTTATGGCCGTCCTACCTTGAGACTGGCCTCCACCTAGTCGATACCTACCACCATCGCATTCTCATCATATACTTTATCTATTACTACCCTTTGTCCCCCTGTGAGGGCCTACAGATGGGACTCCGGCACACTATTGTTGATGCAATACCACCCAAATGACCACTTAGCAGGGCTAGGTATACCGTGTAGGCTGTTCGAGGTAACTGTGACTTGAAGTCAGCGCTGGCCACAGCAAGCATGCGAGAGAGGGGCATATCCTTAGTCGAGAGCGCTACGCCGACTCCACCCACACAACTCTAATGACTTGGCAGGAAATGGTACTGGACAGCTTGGTGAGACTTGGACGTAGCACGACATTCTCTCGAGTCACCCTTCAATTGAGTCATAACAGCTGCCAATTCTAGCCGTGTTGGGAGAGCAGGAGACGAGGGACCAAGAAGTGATATTGTTACTACTAGAACAGCTCTCCTCTATATACGACACCAACAAAGGAAGTGCCCATGCGTCCATAGCTGAAATTTGGTGACCTAAGAGGGTATGAGTGGGAGAGCATCCTCATATGGTTCCTCATATCCGCTCTTATGCTTCATAACGCCCCCAATACCCTCCTACTCGACCAGTGGTACTGCGTTTTCTGTCTATCACCATAGCATCTACTCCGAGCTCGGAAAGAACCATGCTGGATAGTTGCTCACTATGCCACTAACGGCTGGGTGGAAGCTCGCCGAATTTTACAATCCTCGATGGTGTCGAACACTCTCTGTCGTAGTACTCGTAGTGTAAACCATTAATGTTTGTATAGTCAGCTAGAGGTTTTTAGAGGCATCCTTGACCGGTTAACTGTCTGATAGTCCATCCCTGGTAGACACAAACATACAACATGAAACTACTACACTGCGGCATCCCTACTTTTTCTGATACTAACTCGAGGCGTGGTATACAGAGCAAAAATAGCGGAAGCAAATATAATCAGTTTGTCAATCGTTGAGGCAAAAGCAGGAGTGGCAGCATAAACCTCCGCTGTTATTCATTGAAATAATGCTACTTGGCGGGAAAACGCCCTCCATTAGATTGTAACGATGAAACCTCGAGTTAATGATTCTTTACAAAACTCGGCGGACTTAGAAAGGTGTATACATTCCCTCGACCTGAATGAAAGTGATGATGCTGATAGCGAGCCTTCCCCCCAGGATGACCTACCCGTCTTAGTGAGTCTAGTGCTACGTTTGGCCGCTGGCGTACAAGACTCGACGATCTCTGCTATATCAGACACAACTTGTACATTGAGATTGAAGAAATTATGTCTAAGTTGGTGAACATTCTGGTCCATATGTGTCGTGTCCATAACGTCAACATATGCTTCACCGTAGCTTTGACCATTATCTCGGTCGACACAGGCTAGAGTACCAACGAATTTACCAAGGGCTTTCTCTCTATTGAATAGTTCAGACCACATCAATGCACCATCTCGACTGTCAGCATATACCGTTACCCGTTCACAGTACTCCAGTAAAGAGGGCAGGACACTATGACGGAACTTATCCAAAGGATAGTCTGCATTGACGAGAACAACGTTGAGAAGAGTCATCCTATCCACATCGCTGTGAGTAGAAGCTGCTGCTGCTGCCTCTAGATCCATCACGGCAGGGCCCGGTGCTGACGAGATTGAATCTGTGGAAAAATGATCCTTACGGCGGCCCTTACTGGAGGATAACGCTCTGGTTCCCTCTAGACTACCAGCACGAGTTGACTTGGCTGAGTTGGAGGTGCCGTATGAACACGCTCTTATCTGCAGAAGCGAGTCCTGGACCATAAACGGTAAGGCTTCACAGAAGAGCCTGAAGGAGCGGTAGACTATTCCCATTCTATCATAATATAGTATAATACCTCGCCCCCATAGAGTGGACTAAGAAGTGTATCCGACGGAAGCCTGCTGTCCTGAGTTTAGCCACAAAGTCAGCTAGATCCGGTGCATACTCCGGCAAACAGTCTCTAGCAGCATGATAGGTAAGAGCGGACCCCGAACCTACGAATAATAAGAGTAGTAGTGAACATACCAATACTCAGTATCATCCTCACCCTGGGAGAAAACGAAAGGTCTGATCCACAATGGGAACTGTCCTAGAGCCAACATCTGCCCTAACCGTTCAATAGCACTAGAGATAGGACAGTTATAGCCATGTAGATACACCAATGCCTCTGCATGCCGCACTGGTTGGAGGTAGGATGCTTGAAGTGATAGGCTGGAAGGATGACCTGGGAGGGACAGACCTTCAACAGACGAGGACCGCAATGACTTACCGCAACTAAACGTTCTAGTTCGACCACTATAGTAGTACTGCTCTTCATTATTCGAGTCGTGGCCACACGTCTCTGGCGGTAGGAGCTCCATAAAACCCGTACCCGTAATACCTGCGGCAAAGGCCCTTCAACGGAAGATAGGTATCCACTCCCTCGCCCTATTACCAGTCTCATCCTCCTTTAGAGCGATCAACTGTGAGCTACCTCTCTCCAGAGCTCCAAAGCTTGTGAGCAGACGTAGCCGAAGGGCCGGAGGGGCCGCTGGACACTGGCATGGGGACGTCACCCTCAACAGAGGAAGGGAAGTATGGTCCTACATCCTTCCGGCAGGCATCCCTTTCCGATCCGATGAAGCCCTCCCCTTTTGCGAGCTCCTCGGTAGAACTTTCGAACCTGCATGCATAGCTGAGAGAGGCATTGCAACGTATGGGACTACTCTCGTTTGAAGTGATCCAGGACGAAGGTGAAATCGTCAGTAGAAGTGAGAAGCTCCTTAACCTTGGGGAGGTGGTTGAAGAAATACCCAGATACAGAGCATTCAACTGATGCTACTCCATATGAACATTCATCTTTGCGATGCGGGAATATATATTTCCAGGTGATTCCTAAGAGAAGACATTTACAAGTATTTGGAGAGGTACGGCTACCCGGCTCGGCCCGAGTCGATGCCCATAGTATACGACGACAGACACTCACTGAGCCGCTGCTGAACTCTCGAGATACGAACGGACCCATAGGGAGTCCTGACAAGGGACAGCTGCTAGAACAGTCATATAGTATGCACCCTACCTCGCATCCAGACCCCCCTCAGGATCTCACCGTGGCGAGAATCATCCGTCCACACGCCGAAGCCGTGGGGCCGACCCTCGCTGTCGACATCACCATGATAGTTACAAATATTACGAGTGAGTGAGAATATACCGTAGCGCTGGTAGGAGTACCTACTACTATGATGATGATAGTTGTACAGTGAGACGTGGCCGACCCGAAGGCATTCTCTTCATCCACTTGGTGAAGTCGCCACCAGTGCTTGACAAGAAAGTCAGGATGGACTTTCTTAAGCATATAGGGATACCCAAAGTGAATAGTAACCTGTGAGTTGATAAGTCTATATGGTATATACCACATAAGTAGACTTACATATATTAAGAACAATAAGACCTCAAGGGAAGCAACTACGACACTGACGATTATAATATTCGTGAGAGACGGGGCCTGAAGAGGAAGGGGTAAATGATCTATCGAAGAGTTATGTAGTTACCGGCCATTTATCAGCGGGATTGTAAAGCCATATGATCCATACAACTCCTATCAACAAGAAAACCACTGCTAGGGTCGATATCGCGCTCCTTTTCCGCAGTGCAATGCTTATCAATGCTACTGCGATGAAGAAGCCCTACAATATAGCAATATGGAGGCGAGTCGAGAAGGAGACTATTACAGTAACCGCACCAGGCACCACGAGGAGCAGCGCACGAGTGTTCTTCTCCCGCAGTATTTGGCCCACAATATTACTGCCTATCGAGTTTGACAACAATATGAATGCAACCTGGAGAGCACCCTATGCTGGGGGAGAGAGAAGGAGGCCGCTTACCAGAACAACGACAAGTTCCGCGGCAAACCTAGCGCCCCAACTAGGCTCCATTCGGTACCCCTCCAAGGACCGTTCAAGTCTTCGGTGTTCCATCTCATAAAATACGTCTACGGGGAAGCAGAGTTGTATACGGGGAGAGCATGAATACTCATATTATTACGGCGCATAGGCTTGTGACTAAGAATGTCCACCTTTTTGAATGGGCCATTCAGAGACGTGTTATGCCTAACAGGACAGCCTAGTCCGGGAGTCCTCATACTCGTTATAGTACCGAGACCTGGCAGCAGGATCGAGGGCAACTCCATGGGCATCACGAGCAAACGGCGATTGATCTATCTCCATCGCCTCATTGGCCTGCCGTATGGTCATTCAGTTAAAACTAATGATGATGCACATAGCAACGCCTCCCTGTAGTGGGGATCCTGTAATAACCAACACTACAACGGCATTGTACTACTCCACTGATGATGGGGCACATAGAAAGAGGTTCTTGGAATGGGGATGGCTTACTACCGGGCAACGACTACTCTCAATGACTGGCCTATTGGGAGGAGACCTCCCTGCCGGAAATTCAACTACTACTGTTATCACTGAGGACCACGGAGGCATCAGTAATATCAGTAGCAGTTGATGACGAAACGGCAGCTGTACAATATCTCCACTATAATAACAACAAACTCGTAATACTACACCGTTGAGTCTAAGTGGTGGTAGCATAACTACTCGTAACGAGCCGTGTTACGCTTAAGAATGTCTTCAAGTGGACCAAGTAGCCTCTTGAAACTCCTGCGATCCAGAGAGAGAACCTGTCAATGACCATCTCACTAGAAAATGAGCTGTCAACGGATGATGGAGTACTTGGCAGTCCGTCTTAGCCTTCACTGTAGCAGCTCGAGGGTCATTGCTGAGTAATGCCAACTCGCCAAAGTAGTCCCCAGCTCTAATGTGCATAACCTCCTTAGGCTCCTATGAATCAACATCCATACACTACTACCTTCAGAGATCCTCTACTTACCTGGCCTTGAACATATACCTTATATACAGTACATTCCCCTTCTTCCAGCATATAAAACTTATCTCCCACATCGCCCTGTCGGACAATACACTCCCCTGCCTTGAAACACTCAGTTCGAAGAGCATCAGCAACCTTGGACCTCTCGTAACTGCAGCAGATGCCCGACCCTTCCAGACTCCTCACACAATTCTTACCTGTCCATACTCTCCAGCAGAGGGACACTCTTGAGGAAGGTCTCATACTTCTCTCTTTTACTTGCGGCAGCCTCCTTGACAATGTGATTGAAGGTCTCCCTGTCGAGCTGCCACACCACGCATCGTCCTCTAGGAAGGATGACTGTGATAAAGCAACCTCACCGTGAGCTCACCTAGCCTGAACACTCGCTGCCCGCGGGGTATTGTAGAGCAAGGCGAGCTCTCCAAAGGTGTCACCTTCGGTACAGGTCTTAACTAACTTCTCCTCCTCTTCCCCAGGAAGCTTCTTATAACAGTCCAACTCACCTAACACATCGTACCGTTTGAAGTCCACACGAATTCATTCATCTCACCCGACTCCACCACATAAAGGACGTCCCCATCATCACCCTGGTTAATTACACGTTGGTTGGGTTCGATGACCTGGGAGGAAAACGGTCAGTTAGCACGGGAGAGCACTAGTTCACTACCTTCTCTACCATAGCACCAATGACTACATCTAAACTCTTCTCATCAACAGACATGAACAGGAAACTCTGGCTGAGAACGGACCTTATACGAGCCGCCTGCTCCTCACTCTTCGGATGGACTGGTGCCACGAAATCAGTTCGCTTCCTGAGACAACATCCTATAGGTAGTCGAGGGCCCTATGAACCTACTTGTTCCAGTCACCGTATGCCTCAGCACTCACACTCGCTCTAGGGCCTCTACGATGGTAGTTAGCAGGCACTGGTGGTAGCTCATCGACAACATCCTCTTCATCGTCTTCGTCGGAGCTATCCTAGCAGATGCACGCAGGATCATGGTCCATTGTTAAGCATCTACCACTGACCTCATCTGCCGAGTCCTCCTCACCCTTAGTAGTAGTAGAAGGGGCGCATGGCAACGACTTAGATGCAGCCGCCTCCAATTCAGCTTGCTTGCTCTCGAGCTGCTTCACATACCTATCGAATAACGTGAAGCCACCATTGGCACCTCCGTTGCCATACGCTCGAAGGGAATCGACTTCAGACTGCAATCTAGTGACTTCTGCTGAGGACGACTCTGCAGCACCCTGTATACCAGCAGGAGCAGGAGTATGGGACTGAGTTATAACACGAGGAGAGGCAATCCTCGACGAGGGAGAGATCGACGTAAGTACATAATCAGATAACCATTGTATCATGAAGGGCACAGGGTCTTCAGGACGCTCCAACAGCAACTGAAAATATCTAGTACAGTAGCATAAGCTGACCCTAGATATACCTGGGTGACGAGATTCTCGAGAATAGGATTGATTTTCTTTTGGATGTATTCTTGATGACCCTCAGCTGCCGGCATGATGATATCACCACTTCAAAATTGACGTATGGAACTGGTAAGCAGAGTTATGGCTAAGTACTGTAACAACGCTCCCCTAACGTTAAAAACACAAGTCGGGATGATAGGAATGCTAGATAGTGAATAAGAGCTTCACTCAGTACAGGGAAACGGCTGGGTGACCATCGTCAATGGTTGCTTAGATATCGTCAATGTCCGCCTTAGCTGAGGAAGAGACAAGTTAGAGTACAGTCCATCAGAGAGGGGAGGTATATTACTGAGGTTAGCAGCGGCAGAGGGAGGGGCCAAGAGGTTGCCTGCAGTCTCCTCGTCATCACTACCATCTTCAGCAAACTCGACACCATCATCAGAGAATCCTAAAGCAAGATGATATTCAACACCTGAGGAACGTGGTGGTACTATCATTACCTTCCTCGTTGCCCATCAAATCAGTCTCGTTGATCTTGATGTTGTCAGGTATCTCCTTATGCTGTTTCAAGGCACGGGCCTCATCGACGTTATACCTGTCGAAAGGGATCGGAGTCAAGGTGGTAACGATACTAGTACTTGAGGATGATATCACACTTCTCGTCTTGGAAGTCTCGGAGGGAAGCCAGAACCTGAGTGGTGCCAACTAGGACCAGCTAAAATACATTTTCCACGAGGCTTACGATATCACCGATCTGGATCCACACACGCTTACGCATCTTGCCACGGATATGCCCGAGTCGCTTTACTCCGTCGAAGCATTGTAGCTCAACACGACCTTGCCCAAGCATCTTGAGGACCTATAGGATGCTGCTGGAATATCCAAATGTCACCCATATAAGATACGGAGTAGGTCCGGTTGACGTACCTGACCGTATTCCTGGCCATCTTCCTTGAACTCAAGCTCTCGCTTAACGTCACCGCGTCCTCCCTTTCCGCGGCGTCGGTTCTTCCCTCCCTTTCCCTTATTCTTAGGAGCCATTCAAATACGAGAGAACAGGAACAACTCTGCCCATCACCAACAGATCAGCAAATTCCACCATAAACGATACCACATTTCCTGGAATCTGTTCCCCCGGATGGCCTGGAGCCGTAGCCCCTTACTCACCATCTGCTTTTACTATAGAATCGCATTGGCGCTCGCCACATTGATCGATTTTTCGTCTTTGCAAACGTAGACAGGCATCCAAGATACCATGCGTCTACATGACTGTATGGTACTGACTAGGTAGGAGGACGGCTCACATCCGATAGAGAAGCCTCCTATTTATTTAGAGGTTTAACTCATATCTTTGATGTACGACGAGACTATCATGACTGAATTGATTGCTAAGCTCTAGGGCCCAGCTCTACAACCAGCTTGACTACTATTGCAGTTAGTTTGTGAATCCACCCAGCCATGGTTAGCGTCGTTAACTCCAAAGCTGATGTTTTGAAGGCCACTCAAGCGTTGTTGGTGAACTGCAATGCTGCCCAAGGCCTCAGTGAGGTTATGAAGAGCAATCTCGGCCCTAGGGGCACTCTCAAGATGTAATATCGGGCTGGCTTAGGGACGTCATACCACACCACTGCGAACTCATGGTTGCTCATTACAGGCTCGTTGGAGGTGCTGGCCAGATCAAGATCACCAAGGATGGGAGTGTTCTCCTTAAAGAGATGCAAATTCAGCACCCTACTGCCTCTATGATAGGTAGGCTACGTAGGACGTACGATACCTGACATCTCTGTTGATCTTGTAGCCCGAGCCGCTGCAGCACAAGATGAGACCAGCGGTGATGGCACCACGTCGACTATTCTGTTCATTGCCGAGCTCATGAAGTTGTCTCAGAGGTAGAATTCTGGTCAGAAGGCGTCCTACTAGAAGTGTACCTTTGCAGGTACATCAATGATGGTGTGCATCCCCGCATTCTAGCGGATGGATTCGATGCTGCTCGGATGGAGGTATTGAATGCGGTCCGTCGTGTTCCTTTGAATATTGATTATCTTCAGATAGCAACCTTTTTGGAAGAGTTTAAAGTGAAGTGTGGCTGGGAAGACAGTGACATTCTCTCCTGCATAGCCAGTAGTGTTCCCAGGGTATCAGCCTCGATCAGCTTGGTCGTATTAGGAACCTCTCTCCGGACTAAACTTCCTGGCAAGCAGGCTGACCAGTTGGCGGATATCATTGTCCAGGCCCTCCAGCTCGTAAGGGGGGACAAGGCTTATTGTTATACCGATATTGTGGTATCAGATTCATACTGAGAGCGAGGAGATAGACTTGCATATGGTAGAAGTTATGACTATGCAAGAGAGGCTCGCTATGGAGACTAGGTATACTCGGGGTGCTAGATCCTGTCGGTTGCATTGTTATGGTATTAGACTGGTGAAAGGTCTTGTACTTGACCATGGGACCCGCCACCCCGACATGCCTCACAGGCTCGAGAACTGCTATATTCTCACCTGCAACGTCAGTCTTGAATATGAGAAGGCTGAGGTGAGATGAGCATTCAAGGCCACTCGTAGTTGATTAGCATAGTAGGTGAACACTACTTTCGCTTACAGCAATGCTGAGCAGAGGGAACGTCTTGTTGAGTCTGAGAGGAAGTTCACCGATGATAAGGTGAGACCAGGTGGTGGTGAATGTGGCAATGACCGGTGCTCTGTCATTAGGTGGCTAAGATTATCGAATTAAAGCAGACTGTGTGTGGCGACTCCGACAAGACTGGCAAGCACTTCGTTGTTATCAACCAGAAAGGTGGGTTCAGCTCACTCCCGTTATGGTCTGCCGATGGTCATAACAGGTATCGACCCCCCAGCGTTGGATATGCTCGCTAAGGAGGGTATCATGGCATTGCGTAGGGCTAAGCGGAGGAACATGGAACGCCTTGTACTCGCATGTGGCGGCGTTGCTGTGAACTCTGTCGAGGATGTAATACGTCTCCCCTCGGTGAGCTCGGTGTATCGTCCTCTGTAGCTCACTCCTGATGATCTCGGCTATGCTGATGAGGTTTATGAGAAGGTCATTGGTGATGACAAGTATACCTTTATCGAAGGAGTCCAGTAAGTAGCATTAGCATCGCCACTGTATTCAGTGTTTGCTTATTCGTTCACAGACATCCTCGTTCCTGCACCATACTCCTCAAGGGCTCCAATGACTATGTTATCAATCAGATGAAGGATGCTGTACGTGAATGATGGTAGAGCGCCCTTCTGATGCTGTCGTCATTATAGGTCCGTGATGGCCTACGTGCCGTGAGGAATGCGGCTCAAGACGGTGCGGTGGTCCCAGGAGCCGGTAGGACCGTAGACTACCACTCCTTATGTTACCTAGGGCTGTTAGGTGCCTTCGAGTTGGCTGGTCATGACCACTTGATGGAGTTCATGAAGAAGAACGTTAGTGGTAAGACTAAACTCGGTGTTGAAGTTTTCGCCAAGGCATTGCTGGTAGTGATAGTTCCCACAGTACTGTTGTCTCAATTCACTGATTGTCAGGCTATACCCCAGACCCTCGCTGAGAATAGCGGTTTTGATATTCAAGACACCATACTCAAGCTGGAGGAAGGTATGATGTAGGTTGTTGGGTACTGACGGTATATGCAATGTTCAGAGTACCAGAATGCTGATGGCGAGGCGGTGGGCCTAGACGTATATACTGGAGACGCCATCTCCCCTGAAGCTGAAGGTAGTTGTTATGGATCCTTGCAACGACCATAGATGCTCTACAGGTATCTGGGATAATTACGTTGTTAAGAAAGAGATGCTTGCCTTGGCACCAGTAAGCACCAGTGGGTGAATCATTCTAGCTGTGTTATCATCTGTGCAGGTGCTGGCCCAGCAGTTGTTGCTAGTTGATGAGGTCATTAGAGCTGGAAGGCAGATGGGCAAGGAGTAAAGCCCTTCCCTATTGCAACTACCAGCACACTGTTTGAGGCACCATAGTATTCTTGTAATGCTCGTGTGTGATATCTACTGTGATTGCTATGATTGGTTACGATGAACGAGAAGAGTGGTATCATCTCATCATTTGCAATAGCGGCATCATCAGCAACAACAGAAACACTATGTCGTTTTAAGTATCTCCACGACATCATTTCTGTTGTGTTTCCTAAACGTTGGGTTACTTCTCTCGAGGTAGTTGGCATTTACAACCTCCACTGACGATGGTTTTGCCTATGAGCTTGTTGAAGACGGCCCAAGGGCAGCCGATAGTAAGCCTAGGGTCATGGTCTTCCCGTTACTCATTGCTTCTCAGATGGTTGAGTTGAAAAATGGCGAGGCATACTCCGGTGTATTGGCCAATTGTGACTCCTGGATGAACTTGCATATCAGAGACGCTGTCCTCACTAGCAAGGTAGAGTCTAGGAGCATCATCAGCAGCTGATGATATGAGCTTACTATAGGATGGTGACCGCTTCTGGAAGCTGGCTGAGGCCTACATAAGAGGGAATCATATCAAGTAGGCCTACGATGATGGTGAATGTGTGTATTGGTCTAGCAAGATACCTACGGATACCCGATGGTGTGGTTGATATGGTCCAGGAGGATGCTATCAGGCTCCAACGTATGAAGGCTGAGAAGGGTGCTGGAAAGGGTACGTATGACAATTACGTATGATGATAGTGAGTGGTGTGCTGTATCAGGCAAGGGTAAAGGTAAAGGGAAGGGTGGTGGTATACCAGCAGGCAAAGGTAATGGAGACTGCTGTTGCTGTCTCTGGAGACGCTCATCTCACTGGTGTCCAGGTCGTGGTGAGGCTGCTGGCCCTCGTATGCGTCGGTAATCAGTGTTGACAATCCCTCACGTCGTGCCCTATCATTATCATATTCCAACAGCCATTGTACATTTTCTCCCTGGTATGGCACAGTATCACCCGATAGTTTGTCTCGTGT